ATGTCGCGTCGAAAACAGGGCAAACCCCAACAACGGAAATCACAGTGTCCACGTAAGTAATATTTATATACATTTCATACTGAAAGCTAGATTTAGAATACATACATTACGTCCATCTGCCGCGCTAACCAGATACTGATCTTACTAGCAGAGCGGGATTCAACTTAAATTAATCAACACTAACCGGGAATTTTGTAGTAAAACGGTTACGTAAAAACGGTTACTAGTTAGTTATATCGAAGTTACAGTCTAATTATTGATGTCGTATTTTATAAAGATTGTTTAGAGAATGGTTTTAGACGCAGTATTGTAGCCACAGTTTGTGAATTCCGGCCATGGAGAGGGTGTAGGTTGAGCGTACCTTGGTACCTCGCAACAACCAAGCGTAGCCAGCCTTCTTCAACCTCACGCAATCCAGCCAGGGCGGCGGGGTGGAGAGGGGCGGCGGCGGGTGGTGCTGGAGCCCGCTTCCTTCTTTGGGCACACGATGTTTACGTCACTAGTAAACACATCTCTATCACGGTTATTTCTGTCCTTTTTCTCTCTCTTTCTCTTCCTTTCTAGTAGCACCATGGATAGTGAGCAGGTTTAGTTGTTAGATTAGAGTGCTCAGTCGTGGGCCCTTCTTGATAATGGTAAACTGTTTGAATCCAAATCACGGGGTTTATGTCGACTGTTAGCCTAACTTTTGAAATGGGAGACGAAAAGTTACGAGGCAAGGAAGTGGTCACTTCAGCACAACACACTACTCTATAGTGTGTTACATCTTTAGCATTTAGCACAGCCAGAAGTTAAGGGCAATTTCTGTTCGAGGTTAAAAGCAAACTATTTTACAATACCGTTTGGTTGGTTTAGTGAATATATGAGGTGTGTGTTTCTGGACGTGTGATTGCTCACTGTAACACATACAGCTAGTTCCTGTGTGTGTCTGTGTGTATGTATGTGTGTATATATGTATGTATGTATGCGAAGAACGTTTGCATGTGATTGAATTCGGCGAACTATATTAATACTGCCTTTCTTTAGTTCTTGTATGACTGAACGATTGGCACATTTTGTGTTCCTTTATTACTGAACTAGATAGGAAAATATGTGGTTTCTTTATGACTGAATTCCTCCGGAATTTACATCCGGTCAATGCGAAGAAAAAGAAGAAAATGATGATTATGAAGAAGCAGAAGAAGAAATGAAATGAGATTTTAAAAAATAGGTTTCTATGCTTGGAGTTAATTAGTATATTTTTATTTCCTGTGTGACTGAACTAGATAAGCATAGATTTAGCTCCAGAATGACTGAACTAGATGTGTATAGATTTAGTTCCTTTAGGTCTGAATTAGATGGATAAAAGTCTGGTCCCTATATGATTGAACTAGCTAAGTGTATGTTTAGTTACTGCAACTGAACTAAATGAGTATATATTTCCTGAATGACTGAACTGGGTGTGTATGTTTAGTTCTCATGAGACTGAACTATATGTGTATATATTTACTCAATGTGACTCAGCTAATTAGGTATAAAATGAGTTCATGTGTGACTGAACCAAGTTGTCATAGACCCACTGGCTCCCCAACAAGCATGTCCTAGGAGGACTCATTCAGTCTTTCCTTCGAAATCATAGTTATTCTGCCTAAGAGGCTCGGAGCCAACAGTCTGCTTGCGCATAAGCTAGATCTGTAAAACGGATGTGCACGCAGCCTTTAAGTTCTGAAACCAGACCAAAGTCATGAAGTGGACAAAAAACCGCAACATTCCGCTGGTGTGTACAGCCGGTGAACGCGAAGAAGAAGAAGAAGAAGAAGAGGGAAATGAAATGATATGCAGACTGGAGCACACTGGCTGTTGTGGGGCCAGAAATAATCATCTCTCCTACTCACCTGGTCTGTCTGTGTTCGGTGTTTCCTCTAGACTGCCCTAGGACTAAACAATGCTCACATGTGAGTGCATGTCAGTGCCTGACCTCAACAAAACTGATAACATACACTTCTGATGAAATTACCGCTGCTACTTTATGTGAACCCTTCTACCCAAATGGTTATTTTTACTACCGTCTTGTGTGTGTGTGTGTATATATTAGCCCCCCCCCCTCCTTTTCAACCACACCCGCCATGTATAGGCCGCTCCCTTTCCACCACACCCCCGTGTATAAGACACCCTATTTCTACCCCACCCCCGTGTATAAGACACCCTATTTCTACCCCACCCCCCCGTGTATAAGACACCCTATTTCTACCCCCCCCCCCCCCCCCCCCCCCCCCCCCCCCCCCCCGTGTATAAGATACCCTCTAGGTTTTTTAAAGCCCAGAATAGAAAAATTGATATATTGAACACATTCTGTGTTTAAGAAGACCCCCAATTTCAAAGTCGACAAATTTCGGAAAACTTATCTTTTACACTGGAAAATGTAGTTCTAATGTTCCAAAATGTGTATGTGTGGGTGTGTGAGTATGTGTGTTGTGTGTGAGTATGTGTGTTGTGTGTGTGTGTGTGAGTATGTGTGTTGTGTGTTGATCAGCATCATGTATCACTATTTATTGCTTCAACTCATTTCTTTGTAAAGGAAGGGGTTGAAGTAACAACATATTGGTTAGGGCCGAAAGAGTTCAATTCTCCTTACAGCCGACCGTTTTTAATGTAAGTGCTAATCATACAGCTGTCATTTTATGATGTAACCGAGGACTGTAAGAGTAGCAGATGACATCCAAATAGTATACTTTTGTATATAAAAACTAGCTAAATGTCAACAGAACAATACACATGTGTATATAAAACTGTTTTTATTAAGCAGATAAAATATATTTGTATATAAAACCAGCTTTATATTATATTTTATTATACTTTATATTTGTTTATAAAGCTAGCTTTATATCAGCAGAACAGTGCATATTTATATATACAGATCTCTCTCTCTCTCTCTCTCTCTCTCTCTCTCTATATATATATATATATATATATATATATATATATATATATATATATATATATATATATATATATAGATAGATAGATAATTGATATATGCCAGCTTTATATTGGCAGAACAGTTCATATTTGTATATAAAACTAGCTAGATGGCAACAAAACAGTACACATTTTATAAAACACTGGCTTTTTCTCAGCAGATACAATTTATTTGTGTATCTTCTTCTTCCTCTTTCGTTCGCCGGAAATAAGTTGTCTGTATCAGCAATTTTGTCTCTTGTATACATTTCACTGTTGTTGTTAATTCATCGAGTAGTCCATAGAGTTTACGTTCCACTGTTGTTCTTTCTGTCCAAAAAGTTTGCCTTAATGTGTAAAATTTGGTGCAGTCCTGGAGTACATGCTCTGCTGTCTGGGGCATCTTTTCACAGGTGCACATGGCTGATCAGCAGATAAAATTTATTTGTGTATGAGACCAGCTTTATATCAACAGAAAAGTGTATGTTTGTATATAAAAACAAGCTAGATGGCAACAGAACAGTACACATGTGTATATAAAACTTGCTTTTTTATGAGCAGACAACTATATCTGTATATAAAACCAGCTTTATATCAGCAGATCAGTGCATATTTAAATATAAAACTAACTAGATGTCAACAGAATAGTGGTTATTTGTATATAAAGTCAAATAGATGTCAGCGAAGCCGAATATTTGTATATACAAAGCCAGCTTGATATATGCAATCATGAAGTCACATCTGACTGACTGGACAGTCTTTAGGCATGCAATCATGAAGTCACATCTGACAGGCTTTAGGCATGCAACCATGAAGTCACATCTGACTGACAGGGCAGGCTTTAAGCATGCAATCATGAAGTCACATCTGACTGACTGGACAGTCTTTGGGCATGCAATCATGAAGTCACATCTGACTGACTGGACAGTCTTTAGGCATGCAATCATGAAGTCACATCTGACTGACTGGACAGTCTTTAGGCATGCAACCATGAAGTCACATCTGACTGACTGGACAGTCTTTAGGCATGCAATCATGAAGTCACCTCTGACAGGCTTTAGGCATGCAATCATGAAGTCACATCTGACTGACTGGACAGGCTTTAGGCATGCAATCATGAAGTCACATCTGACTGACTGGACAGTCTTTAGGCATGCAACCATGAAGTCACATCTGACTGACTGGACAGTCTTTAGGCATGCAACCATAAAGTCACATCTGACTGACTGGACAGGCTTTAGGCATGCAACCATGAAGTCACATCTGACTGACTGGACAGGCTTTAGGCATGCAACCATGAAGTCACATCTGACTGACAGGCTTTAGGCATGCAATCATGAAGTCACATCTGACTGACTGGACAGGCTTTAGGCATGCAATCATTAAGTCACATCTGACAGTTAACGGCGGAGGAAGCTGATCAGAGAGTCAACGCAACTGGTGACCCAGTGACACGGGACGATGATGATAGTGAATGGAGAATTGTAATAAGCTTAATATTATGTCTGTTTTAGTGAATAAGGAACTGGAACTGCCTGTTTACCGTCTGCCTGCATTTTTGACTATGTGCCAGTCTACCTATCTAACCGTCTGTCTGCCTCGCATTGTCTGTCTATCTTCTGATTGAAATCTGTGGTTGTCCAAAAATCCAAAGATATACTGCTTTAGAAAACAAGAACTCAGACTTTTCTCTCTCTCGTAATAATAACTTCTGTGAATAATCATCCCCCCCCCCCCGCCCCACCGCCCCTCCTCTCGTCCCCGCCAGTCAGTCACAAATCTGGGTTGTGCCGCGTCGTGGTTACCCCCACCTCAAGCTAGGCGACCGCTACACCTCCACCAATCGTTTGCTTCCATTAATAGTCCATGGTAACTTTTTTGTTGTTGAAATTTTCAGTCGTGTCAGAGTGAGCCAGTGTGGGTAATTGTGTGCGTGCGGGTGAGTGGCTGTGATGTGTGGGTGGATGGGTGGCTCTGGGTATTGACAGGGTTGGGGGGAGAGTGGCGTGCTGTTGGGTGGTGGCATTGAAAAACGACTTGACACAGATGGGGTCTCACGTGCGACATTTGGGCCAGATATTTTCGTAATGTTGTCGATGGCTTTACTGGCACATC